TGTATATATACCACATTTTTTAATCCATTTCTTAACATTTGGGTTGTTTTTGCCTTTTGGCTATTGTGAATAATGCTGCTATGAACATTGGTGTGCAAATATCTGTTTGATTCCCTGGTTTTGATTCTTTTGAGCGTCACTCAGAAATCGACTTGCTGAATCACCTAGTAATTCTATGTTTAATTTTTTGGGTAGTTTTTTGATGCCCAGGTTTCCTTTTTTCATACAAAGATACTATAAAGTATCTTCCACAGAACACAGAGCATAGTCTCTGTTAGTCTCTGATGTATTTTGTTTTCTGCTTGCAGAAATAACAGGTAGCTAGAATTCTATGGTAATAGAAAATTATATCAGCTTGTATTTAGGTACTATGTATTTGCCACTCATTGACTTTTATTATCAAAGTTGAAACTCTGTGTGCTTATTAAACCTCTTATATGTAAGACTCTGCACCACTCCTGATTTGATGTGTCACAATTTGGTATGTCAACATCTTCCTTTATCTTTACCTGTTTTTGGCACCTGAGCAGCTTAGCTGTTCTCAAGTACATCTCTCTTATGCTTTTACTAAACAGTAAAGAAATGTGTTTGTGAGATATTTCGGTGAATATGAAGTCTGCAATAATTGCATTCAACTTAATTTAAAATATAAAATAACCAAAATTCAACAAAGATGAACTCAGGAATTTATGACATTATTTCCCCTTCATTATTACAGAATTTTGGAGGTCGATGGAATAGCTTTGGTCATCTTTTAGTCTAGGTTGTGTGTGTGTGTGTGTGTGTGTGTGTGTGTGTGTGTGTGTGTGTGTGTATAAGACATTTTAGTCCCAGACAGTTTAACCCACTTATTCAAGGGCACATAGATAATGGCTGGGAAGGTAGAGGAACTCAAGCTAGTTTAGGAAAGAATTGCTCTTACTTTGTAGATTTTCACAAAGCATCATAACAAATTATGTTGGAAACTTACTATATTTTTATTTGCTGTAAAGCAAATGGAATTTTATTAAAACAAAATTTTTATTGCTGAAAGCAACCTTAGAGACCATCATATTGAATCCCATCATGATATAGATGAGGAAAATGAGGTCCAAAAATGGTGAATACTTTCCCAAGGGTTATGCAGCTAATTGGTGGAGAACCTAGACTAGAATCCAGTTCTTTTTAATGTGTTTTTTCACTTCACCATTCCTCCTACTTAAAAATATGTTGTGTGTTACAATTTAGGAAAAATCTTATTTTCAAAAAGCTTATAAGGTTATTTTATTTGGCACTCAGAGCACATTGTCTTAAAAAAATATTTTAAGTAGTGTTTAAGTTTCTGAGCTGCCTCACGAAAGCCTATGTAAGCCGCAGATGACTTGGATTATAGTAATAAAACTATTATTTCATGATAGCTAATTATTACTTACAATGTTGTGTCCTTGGAAGAGTACCATTCTATCTAGGAATTTTGTCTAGGAAATGCTAGAAAAAACAACCTATCAGGTGATTTTCTTAAGCACCAATGTTAATTTCCATGTCTGTTTCAGAAAACTGCCTTTGTACATCTCTGCTGTTATGTGAAAGAGGACAAAGGAAAAGTCCCTTTCTCTGTCCCTTTTTATTAATAAATCCCTTTCTTGAGTACCTGCAGTATGCCAGGCAGTATGTAAAACACTGGTGAAACCAAGTATCTGAGGCTTCTGCCCTGAAGGCACCAAACTGGATGCAGTGATAGAGAATCACTGGGTAGAGATGGAGTCACTTAGATAAGGTGGTCTGGAAGGCTTTTTGACAAAGTGGCATTTGAGACCTGAAGTATAAGACAGAGCCAGCTGTGTAGGTAGTGGGGTAATCACTCCTCAGGTTCTCAATTGAGTGGGATTAAGAGCAGTAACCCCCTATTGGGGGCACAATGAGGATTCCGAATCAACTCTATCCATACCTGTGTGTAGATTATGGCTTGAGTTCCCACCAGCTGGGGTTGGCCTGCCGCTCAGGTAGGTTAGATTGGTGTTCTCTCCATTGGATTTGGTTGCTGAACTATTAGACTGACATTGTTTTAAAATATAATTTTCTTAATAAGCCAATATATCTCCTGTTTAGTTTTCTTTTTCTTTACCTAATGTCCTATATTGTGATACAGTCTTACCCCATGGACAGCAGTGTTTTATAAACTGTATTAAATATAGCCTGTCTGCAGTTACCTCCATTCAGAAAGACTTTCTCAAGTCCTTATATCTCCCAGCCAAATAGATAAAAGATAATTTACAATTTTCAGTGATACCGTTAACCAGCCCTTTCCTTCTTTAAAGCTTTTCAAATGTCTGTGAGATTGCATCTTATTTTCAGTGTTTAGTAAGAATATTTTGCTTGACCCTCACATAAAAGTTTCAGGCAAACTTGTTCTTATGCCAGTGTAGAAAACCAGAAAAGAGTCTGACTTCGTCATTTTTCTGGTAAAATATTTCATCCACTTGGTGTGCAAACCTTCGGGGACAACCTTCTTCTTCCTTTTTTCCCCTACCAAGGTGAGGTCTCACTATGTTCCTACACTGTTCTCAAACTCCTAAACTCGCATGATCCTCACACCTCAGCCTCCCGAGTAGCTGGGATTACAGGTGTGCACCACCATGCCCAGCTATGGACAACCTTCTTAAAGCTGGGCTTTAACTCTCATAAGCCTGTGGTATGAGCTGGTCCATGCACCGTACTGTTATTGTTGGCAAAGTGATCAGTGAGGTTGGGAGGTGAGCTCTATCACCCATGCCCACTCTGGAGGATGATTTCTGTAGGTGTGAGAGAAGGCTTTATAGGAGGAGAGGTCTGGGAGGGGGCCAGATGTGCTTCTCTTCAGCAGGTACTCTGATAGGCTTTGTGAAGCTTTACCTATCATACTTATTTAATGCTCACAACTCTGTGAGAGATAGGAATTGTTATTCCAGTTTTATAGAGGAGATAGTGAGACACCCAGGGAGATCAAATAACTTCCTACAGCCACATAACCTAATCACGTCGCTGGTGAAGCTGGGATTCCAATCAATCTTTGGCTGACTTGGGAGACTTTTCCCACTGTTTTACAGGGATGTTGCCTCAGTGCTCTTCCATCCTGTTGTCATACAGATGATAATCCCTTTAATAAGGTGAAAAGAAAAAGAAGGCAGGTGATACCACCCATCACAGGTAGTAGAATCAGTTTTACAGATTTACATAATGAGAAAAGTCCTTTACTCTGAAAATTCTTGAGGTCACATTTTATAATAAAATCTTCTGCCAAATCGTGTTGCACATTTTAAAGAATTAGTTTTTTTTAACGTCTTCTATTTCATCATCATACCTTTATAAATGCCAAATGTACCTATTTATGTTGGTAAATTCATTCTTTTTGTAGATTTAAGTTAATGAATACTAACAAGATAGTGTTATACATTAACGTTGTAAACTATATTTCAAGAAGATAAAAACACTCTTAATTTGCGAAGTTAGTTATGGAAGAATAAGATTACCTAATAGACATTGCATTAGAATATACATTCTATGAGGGCAGGGACCTTGTCTGTTTTGTTTGCTACTCTGTCCCTAGGGCCTAGTGCACACTGTCTTATAGAGAGTAGGTGCTCAAGTGAATTAATAAACAAACTTCAGTAAAATTCTATTCTTTTGATTCTCCTCTTCCCTTATTTGTATATTTTTGCTTATTCCTCTTCTTCCACTATCTCCAAGGCTCTTGGTTGATTCCTCTTTTTACATTATTTTACTTTCTAATGTTTGTGGGGAGTATCTTCTACTTCCAGGAGGTAATCATGTCTTCATTTGGCATTTAAATGAGGACAAGTTCATTTGGAGAAAGTGTTATAAAATAATATAGCAATGTTCTGGGGCTCAGGAGACCTAGTACCAGCTTTTGCTGTTAATGAAGGTGTGACATTGAGCAAGTGTTATAACCTGTTGGAGCTTCATTTTCCTCTTAATTGTAAAGTGGTTGGTCGAGATTAGAGCTTAAAAATTCAAATGCCTATAGTGGCCAGGCAGGTAATACAAATGAGTGAAGTGAACTGGGCATGGTACTGTAAGGAGTTGTAGGATGAAGGGCTTCTTGCTAACCTTTAATGAGAATTAGGAGTTATGAATGAGTTTGACCAAAGATGAATACTTATGTTATTTTAGCCTAATGATTCTTAAAGTTAGTTACATTTGAGAATTACCTGGGGAATATTTTAAAAAACACTGATGCCCAGATCCTGCTCTCAGAGATCTGGTGTACTTTAAAAAACAAAACAAAATAAAACAACCCACTAAAAAAACCAAAAGCTTCCCAGGTGCTTCTAATGAGTAGCTAGGTTTTTGAATGATTAATTGCACTGTAACTGGATGTTTTCCACACCTCACTTTTAGAAACAAGCAAAGGATTGATGGTGTGAACTTCAAGACAAATGATTAGGTCTTTTCCTTTTCTTTGGCTTGATCTTTACTGAAAGTTATTGTTGTGAGTGATCACCCAGAGACAATATTGGGTTCTAAGTCATCATCAAAGAGGGTTTAAATTGTGTTCATTATACCAAGCAGTCCCTATTTATCATAATACATTTTGTCCCTGTTTTTACTTACCCAATACTTTCACTTTATTTACCACTACATTTATGGTCATTTATTTAATGGTTTCTACTACATTCTCTAAATTGATGGCAGTCATGGCTTTTTCCGAGGTTAGGTTTCAGTATGTGCATATTCAATGTTTTATTATGGGCCAGATGCTCCTTCTAGGAAAATATTTTAAGTAAAATTGGAGACTCTCTACCCTAACCATGGCCAGAAAGCATTCTCATATGTTTTAGAATGATTTTCTGTAATTTAAATTGAAAAAAGAACTTTTTGCCTTCGTTCACTGAGAATATGTTCAAGTCTGCATTCAGCTGTATCCTGATACTTTCAAAAGAATTAATGTTGTCCTATTCAGAGTGTGATCATCAGCTTATCTTTCTTTCTGTGGTCTTTTTTTTTTCTTTCTCTTTTATCAGTGTTTGCTTTCACAAGCAAAGTTCTGGGCCATTCAGACATCAGCTTTGATCCTCCGGACAAAACTTGAGAGAGGAAGCACACGCCGAGTGGAACGGGCAATGAGGCAGACGCAGGTAGGAGTTCATGTGGCAGCTTTTGTTTTTCTTCCAGTTCTCTAATGCTATCAGTAAGCATACATGTATGTTAAGAATAAAAGAATGAGCTAGCTTACATTTTACTCATTTAATCCATTCATGAGAGTGGAGCCCCCAGTCACCTCCCAACAGTTGCATTGGCAACCAAATTTCCAACACATGAACTTTTGGAGGATGAATTCAAACCATAGCACCTAGTTTAGCCTATCCTGATTAATATTCCCCTTATTCCAAAGTTTTTTTTTAAACAATGAAGAAGAATTTGTTAATTTGATTTTTAGGACTAACTATATTTCTGATGGACACCTCACTAAATTTAGAGCACTCTAGTGATGCTGCTTGGAAATACAAAGATTATTTTTTAGGTTTTATTTATTTCCTAGCTCTGTCCACTAAGAAGGCCTAGAAGCATTTATCACCTCGGTGGCAACAAGCACATCTAGTGCCAGATCTTGGTTTCTAAATATCAATTTTCAATAACAGGAAACAGAGCTCCTTGGATAGATGGCTGGTTTTAGGATTGGGGCAGCTGAAGCAGGGAAAAACATGAGCCTGGAATGTCTTGTAGTGCCAGAAAATAAGACAGTGCTTTAAAAAGAAATAAAAAGGAAAGAAATGGGGCATGTCTAAAGGACATAGTAGCTAATCTCAAAGAAAACCCAGTGGCCAAAGCTAGAACAATTTGAACAACAAATTAATAACATAGTATGGCTGACCCTTGAACAACACAGGTTTGAACTGGGCAGGTCCACTTATGCACAGATTTTCTACCACCTCTGCCACCCCTAAGATAGCAAGACCAATACCTCTTCTTACTCCTCCTCCTCCTCAGTCTACTCAACATGAAGACAGTGAGGATGACCCTTATGATGATCCACTTCTAATTAATGCATAGTAAATATATTTTCTTTTCCTTAGATTTTCTTCATAACATTTTCTTTCCTCTAGCTTACTTTATTGTAAGAATACAGTATATAGTACATATAACATACACAATATGTGTGAATTGACTGTTTATATTATTCATAAGGCTTCTGGTCAACAGTAGGCTATTAGTAGTTAAGTTTTTGGGGAGTCAAAAGTTACATGTGGATTTTTAGCCAGACGCGGGGGTGCATGCCTGTAGTCCCAGCTACTCAGGAGGCTGAGACAGGAGGATTGCTTGAGCCCAGGAGTTCTGGGCTGTAGTGCACTATGCCGATCAGGTGTCCACACTAAGTTCGGCATCAGTATGGTGACCTCCCGGGAGCATGGACCACCAGATTGCCTAAGGAGGGGTGAACCAGCCCAGGTTGGAAACGGAGCAGGTCAAAAGTTACATGTGGATTTTTGACTACACAGGGGAATTGGTTCCCTTAACCCCTGCGTTGTTTAAGGACCAACTGTATTTGATTATAACTCAAAGTATAGAATAAATATACGAGTCCATACTTTTATAAATGAATGATTGAATTAATGGAGGAGAAGGGACAAATCTTCCTTTCAGAAGAATTCTAAATAATTTATGTACATCCCCTCTAGGAGGTAGAGACTAATCTGCCATGAGTATGAGCTGGATTTAATGACTCACTCCCAAAATACAGAGTATGGAAAGGGAAAGATGGTGATTTTACAGTGGAGAAAATTGACAAACACTTCCATAACCTAGTGATCAAGGTTAATGTCACTGGTGGTAAGTCTGTTGATATAGGGTGAACACCCCTTATCCAAAATGCTTGGGACTAGAAGTGTTTTAGATTTTGGAATTTTTCACATTTTGGAATATTTGCATATATATAATGAGATATTTTGGGAATGGTACCCAAATCTAAACATGAAATTCATTAGTATATCATACACACGTTAGACACATAGCCTGAAGGTAATTTCATTTTTTTCTCGGGATGCTGAATAAACTGTGTGTTGTGCACCTGCTTTTTGACTGTGACCTGTCACATGAGGTGAGGTGAGGAATTTTACACTAGGGGTGTCATATCAGTGCTCAGAAAGTTTAGGATTTTGGAGGATTTTGGATTTTGAGGGATGCTCATCATATACTATGTACCTCTTGATAGGATACAATGAGAAAATCACTTCACCTCTGCAGCATTCTTCCCCCAAACCCCAGTCCATTATGAGAAAACATCAGAAAAATCCCATTGAGAGACATCCTACAAAATATCTGACCAGTACTCAAGTGTCAAGGTCATAGAAGACAACTGAGAAACTGTCAGAGATCAGAGACACGAAGGAGATGTGATGACTAAATGCAATGTGGTATCTTGGATTGGATCTTGGAACAGTTAAAGGACAGTAGAAAAACTGGTGAAATACAAATAAAGTCTGTAGTTTAATTAATAGTAACTTACCAATGTTAATTTCTTAGTTTTAAAAAATATGTCATGATTAGGTAGTACATTAAAATTAGGAGAAATTGGGTGAAGAATATGTAGGAACACTCTGTAGTATCTTCTCAAAATTGCTGTAAATTTAAAATTCTTCCAAAATAAAAAGTTTACCTTAATAGTTCACTGCAACCTCAAACTGCTGCACTCAAGCCATCCTCCTGCCTCAGCCTCTGTGGAGCAGCAAGGACTAGAGGCACGTGCACCACTGCGCCAGGCTAAATTTTTTCTATTATTATTAGTGGAGATGGGGTCTCGCTCTTGCTCAGGCTGGTCTTGAACTCTTGAGCTCAAGAAAGGCGTGAGCCACCACACCCAGGCTGTTTCTTATTTTAATGAGTCTTGAGTTTGATTTTTAACTCAGAGTATTGGAAGGAAGTAAATAATGAGATCTAAAACAATATTGGGTGAAGTATGCACAGGTTTACCAAATAATCATTTTAAGCATAACTTGGTACTGTCAACAGTATCAGGTGGTAGGAAAGAGGAAGAATTGACTTAGAAAGGAGCGTATATTTGGTGCGTACAGGAAAGAAAGAGTCCTTCAGTCTGGTTTGTGCTGGGGAGTAGTGTGAGATAATGTTGCAAAGGTTGATTTCTCCGTTTCTGGTGCCAACTTTTATACAAAGTTAAAGAGTTTGGATTTTCTCTTCTCACTAAAAGAAACTATGGGTAACATGATAATAGTCATAATTTTAAAGATAGTCTGGAGCACTGTGCAGCATATATTGGTGACAGTAGAAGCAGAGACCTCAATTAGAGGGCTTCTTTAATAGGCCTACTGGGAGAAGGCGCAATAGGAAGATAGAAGGGAAAGACATTTAAGAGACAATTTATTTACTTCATTGTTCTAATTTAGATAAGTCATTTAATTTAAAATTAAAGTGAAAGGTAATACAACTCATAAAACTTTTTCATATGGCTGCGTAAATTTCAGTGTCTTAAAAAATGTTTCAGATAAGGTTATTTTTCAAAGACTGAGAGAAATCAGGAAACGAAACGAGTACTTTAAAAATCAGTCTTTAAGAGCTTTTAAAATTTATTTTTTTAGAAACAGCTTATCTGGATTAAAAATCTATTAGTTGTTAGATTAAAGCAGATGTTTACCTGGATTAAGTGAAATTTTTGTTTTAAAAAAAAAAACCGTGCAAACAAAGACCCTCATTCCATTCCAGTAGCTTTCTGTGCATAAGCCTACTGTTTGGCAAATCAGTAAGAGCGTTAGCAAGTAATGTAAATATTACTGTTACTGACTTCCTTTTTAGCAAACATTTATTGAATTCTTAGTATGTACCAGGTACTATATTGGGCCCTGGGTATACTAAGATGGCTAATACATAATCTTTGACTTCAAAGAGCTTAAATTATAAGGGGTCAGGTTATTTGTCTTAGAATTATTTTCCATTCTACCTTTTTTTTAGCTATTACCCTCCGCCTCAATATTTCTCTCAGCAAGATACTATACAATTACCACGTCCATTTGCTTTTCTTCCTGCACAGTGTTTGAATCAACAGACGTTTTATGGAGGGCCTAGTATGTTCTTAGCACCTTGTCTCTTGTTTTAATCATTTTACTTCTTTTCAATAATTATCATCTTCTTTCGGGTCCCACTATACTATTGTCACAGGCTGTTTTCTCCAGAAGGGTGAGACAGAGCTAGGGGTGCAGGCTGTTACTAGGGTGTAACACCTATCCAAGAGAAATAGGACGAAGCAGAATTGGGCTGAGGAATAAGTCAAACTGAGGTGCTGGCCTGATGAAGCCCAGATATTTTCCACCTTGGTGTCCCTTGAGGCTGAAATGGCTGGGCCTTCATCCTCTGCCTTCTCTTCCCTCCCACTGGATACAGACAGCCTCAGGAAGGCATGACCTCAGGCCAGATGCTCTCTGTAGCTGCGGTGACTCTCAACAGTTGCTAGCTTGAGACAGTGCTGACCCCACTCCCACAGCGGGGCGTGATGTAGAGCAAAGAGGGAAGGTAAAGGTGCAGTTTCACGACCAGCATCTTCAATTATTCCTGATGAATTGCCCTGTTGTTTTAAATTTTATTTATCAAAAATCCATTTCACACTAAAACTACAAAATTGTTGAAATGACTAAAATGTTAAAATAATCAAATATGCATATTTAAAAAAAGTATATAGTTTCTTGTTCAAGGGGACTACACATAATACTTTCTGTATTATAGAAAACAGTTTAAATGTCTTTTTTTTTTTTTGGTCAAAATTTTGGCCTTCTTAATGCAAATAGTACTAGAATACATTCACTTATTAAAAAAGGACATACTGACCTACAGATTTGCTTTATATTCATCTCTTCCATTAACTTTGGCATATAAAATAACCAGGTCATCATTCATGTTTCCTTTGTAGTAGCAAACTAAACTTAAAAAAACCGTAAAAGTAAATCTTTTAGGTGTTTATAAGTGTATATCTTTTCAATTCAAAACCTGCATCAGTCTGAATTGTGAAGGTTATGTTTTTAGCTGTCAAATAACAAGAACGTGCTTTGAGTGAGGAACATGGGTTTAAAAAAAGAGTCAAATCACTATGCCCTAGCATTTTGTCCTTTCTTTGGCCTTACTGTATTTGGAA